ACTTTAAAGTAACTGGTATACTGCCTTCTCTCCCTCCAAGTACCAGTTGCCCTTTTTACCCTTTTTTTCCTTTAACTCCTTTATGGCTGCTCCAGAGTCCACTGTGGACTTCAATGACTTCAGGCTGCAGAATAAGTGAAGGAAATCCAGGGAGAATGAATGTGGGTGGCTCAGCAGCTCCTGAGCAGCCAAGTGGTCGTTTTGGAAAGGATGCTTCAGATCTGGACCCCTAAATGAGTGAACAATCAGAAACAAGGCTTTGTTGACCTCCTAAGTAAGACCCAAGTCCCCTTTCATTAGAGTTCTGTTGATAATCATCTTGAGAAAACCAAAAAGGATACAAAAAAAGAAAGAAAGAAAAGGGAAAATTGTAAGCCAGCCAGATAGAGATTGGGTTGACATTCCAAATCCATTCTTCCAGGCTTCATCCTTTGCGTTTTTCTTTTATTAATTTTTTTAAACACATATGTACTGAAAATTCACTCTAGTCAGGGATGATAGGTACTAGGGTAAGGTGCTCAACAAAATAGAGTCTTTGTTCTATTAGAGCTTTATTCTAGTGAACAACTATATATAGCAATGATGGACTAATGTGCCCACCATTCACCCTCCCACCCCCTTCCAAATTCATATGTTGACACTCTAGCCCTCAGAGTGACTTCATTTGAAGCTAGCACCTTTAAGAAGTAAGGTAATTAACATTAAATGGTCAGAAAGATGGGACCTGAATCCAGTAGGATGAAAACTGAGTTATGGGAGAAAGCCCTAAACCCTGGATAGCGCAAGCACAGTGCTGTAGGTCCAGATGCAGGAAAATGGGGACAGAGAGAAAGCAGGTGTAGGATCATTCAGGCCATGCAAACCATGGCAAGGACTTCCAATTTTGTGCTAAATAGGAGGGGAAGCTAGTGGGAGAGTTTATGCAGAGTAATATATCTGATTAACCTTAAAAGCATCACTGTCACACAGAAAAGACAATTTAGGAGAAAAGGATGGAGTCTGGGAATTGTTGATGAAGCTGGTTTAATAATTCCAGTGAGACATAATGGGGGAATGTGGACTTAGAGGTGGTAAATTCAGAGAATATGTTCAAGATAATTGAAGATTCATCAATAGATTAGATGTGATATACAAAAGAAAGAAAAAAAGTCAAGGGCACGAAGTTGAGCTGTGCTACTGGGTAATTGCAGTGTCATATACTGAAGTGATAAAACAAGAGGAAGCACAAGTTTGGTGGGGAGCAGGAGTAATGCTCAGTTTTGTGCATGTTTAAATTTTGAGCTGCCTGTTAGACATTCAAGTGGAGATGTTGAATGGGTGGCTGAATAGACCAGCATGGAGTTCAGGGACAGGTTAAAATAAGAGATACAAAATTGAGTGTCATTAGCATTTAAATAGTTATGGAAGCCAAAAGACTGAATATCATTGTAATTTCTGCCAGTATCTGCTTCTCGATTTACAGACCCATCTTTAGGTGAGGGTGAAGAGGTCTGGAGCTATTTTTCCTACCTTTCTCTTCTCCATCCATCCTCTCAAAAATCACCCCAATCAGGCTTCAAGCAGTCATTTCCTTCATTCCTGAAAGTGCCATTGGCTCTCCCGCCTCACATCTCTTGGGGGTTATGTAACCAGACCATTGCAGACCATTGCGAGTCAGTTGCTGAACCAGAGCTCTCCCATTGGTGGCACTTGGCTGCTTGGCCTGTGGGTCTAAACAAGGCCTGTCCCCTAGCATTCGCCTAGATCTCTAACAGAGTTGTGCCTTTTCCCATTAGACTATCTGCCTCTCCTTACACCACTCCACAGGCCGATGGTCTTCACTGACTCATGGCCTTCCTCCTTTCAACCCCAATAGGAGAGCAGAGGACAAGTCGCTGACAAAGGACCATAGGCCTCTTTCATTAGTGTGGGAAAAAACTGCTGTTAGTGAGCAAGGGAGAAAAGGTATGTCTCCAGGGGACAAAGACCCCACTATAGCTCTTGGTGCATTGCCACTGACCTGTAATGGAGAGGGTGGACTAGAAAGGGAAACCTCCACAAATTGCCCTGGCTAGATTATGGGAAATTATTTAAGAATGAGGGTTAGGGCCCTCTCTGGTGGTGTAGCAGGTTAAAGTACAGCACTATGAAGTGTTCAGCAGCCACTGCAACATGAATTCCATCCCCAGCCAGGGAGTGAACCACATGGCACAGCAGACCTCTCCTGACATTCCCAATGCTGCCCTCAGCAGTGTGTTTCAGTACATCTGCCTGTTCTACCCCCCACTCTGTCTCAGACGAAGTCTCAGCTCCCACACCTCTGGTCTGTACCCCAGTTCTCGTATGCATAAATAAATAAATCTTTAAAAAAAAAAAAAAGAATGAGGGTAAATCACGAGTCAGATCTGGAGGAGAAACTGAGGCTTCTGTCATTCTACTAGAGATCTTCAAACCTGGGGGATGATTATCTTTAGTGATTTATGTTTTACAGATGCTCATTTTCCGCTTATTAAAACTGACCTGTCTAAGAAGGCTGCTGTGACCTTCTCTGAAGAACCTCGTATTTGTTTTCCTTTGCCACTGCCTTTTCATTACTGCCTGCTTCCTATTTACAAAAGAATATCCACCTTGAATTTTAAGAGGACATCATTTCTGGACATAAAGAGTTGCTAACCAAGGAAACTAAAATATTAGTTTCAAAGAAGGATTCTTAAATTATTCATCAAGTGATCATATTTTGCATTTCCTTCAGCTTATATATATGTCACCAATGCCAAAATGCATTTTTTTTTTTACAGTGTGACTCCTGAAATCGCTGTATCTTCCATCATGTGATGGCATGGGCTGTTGTCATTACCACACATTTGTAACATCAAAAGCTCCACAATCAAACTGATAATATGGATAGCATCCTTTTGGAGGGAATAGAGAAACTCTTTCACACCCTAAAAAGCAGTTATAGGAAGAATGTAGTTAGGGAGGTGATGAATCAGAGGAGGTTAACTATTTCTAAAGCAGGAGGAAAGGGCCTCCCTCATGGTTCAGGGGTGAAAGTCTCAGAGTAATCAAGCTATCACTAGCCACTGAACAACGTGTTCATGAGTTTGATTCCCAGTTGGGAGCTGTCCCACATGGCACAGCAGACCTCTCCTGTCTTGTCTGCTGCTTGCCTCAGCAGCAGTGCATTTCAGTGGATCTTCCTGTTCTGTTCCCCACCCTGTTTCTGGTGAATCTTCTCACACTCCCCCCCACCCCCACCTACACCTCTGATCTACACCACAGCTCTTGTATGTATAAATAAATAAATAAATATTTTTTAAAAAATAGATCAGGAGGAAAAAAAAATAGTTCTCTCAGTTAAACAGATGAGTTTCTAAATTTAAACCCAGAGAAATACTCCCATTGTCAATTCAGTATTGACACTTGAAAAGGCATCAGTAAATAAATACACTGATGCCCAGCTGTTTCTTATTTGCCAGGTTGTCTTCAGATTAGTATATCAGTAAATACATATCACCATAAATTTAAACTAAATGAGAAAATTCATCCGGATGGAACAGAATTAGCTCTCGTGGCTGGTCAGTCTGGTAGTGTATATTGTGGAGTCTTCCTGGAGATCTGTCACAGATACCTGAACTACTGGCTTTGCAGACATTTAACTTCCTATATTCAATTCCATTTTGCTTAAATTAACATCTTCTGGGTTGTTTTTTTTTAAGGTTTATTTATTTATGCACAGAACTGGGGTAAAGGCCAGGGTGTGGGGGTGAGAGGATTCACCAGAGACAGTCGGAAGCAGAACAGGCAGATTGACTGAAATACACTGCTCAGAGGAGTAGCAGGCGGGTCAGGAGAGATCTGCCACACCATGGTGGTCACCCCTCTGGTGAGGGATTGAACTAGTTCTGTAGTGGCTGAGATAGCTTCATGGTGCTGTGCTTTAACCTGTTGCACCACCAGGGAGGGCCTGCTTCTTGGTTTTATTTATTTTTTCAAACATTTATTTATTTATTCATACAGACCTGGGGTATAGGCCAGAGATGCGGAGGGTGAGAGGATTCACCAGAGACCGAGTGGGGAGCAGAACAGGCAGACTGATGAAGTACACTGCTGAGGGGAGCATCGGGCGGGTCAGGAGAGGTCTGCCACGCCATGTGGTCTCCTCCGGGGCAGGCCAGGATTGAACTCATGCGAAAGTGGCTTAAGCTTCTTTGTGCTGTGCTTTAACCCGCTGCGCCACCAGGGAGGGCCCTGTTTCTTGGTTTTAAACCCAAATTCTGATGAATAAGCTTCAAATTCTAAAATTCTACAAAATTTTCAAAATTTATCTCACCTTAAAGAAGTTTTTGAAATTTTTTACTCAGAACTTTTTCTGACAGGTGAAAATTTTAGTTCAGTAAATAATCAGTCTTTGGAATGAATTATTCTTGGTTAGTCTGACAATGACCTCTTAAGGAAAAGAAGTCTCTCTGAGCTTCAAGATATTGTTACCCATCATGAAATAATGATGACTGTTACTCTCTGGAGTTTAAATGATGGTCAGAAAGTCATCATATTACATTCTGATGTTCAAAAGTGTTAGGATTTTCAATATTTTATTTTCCAAACATTATTTTAAAAGAACATTAAAAGCATCAGAAATACAAATCTTACCTAATGGTTAACATCAGAACAATTATAAAATGATTTAAATACATCACATACTTTGCATCACAGAAAAGCATCAAGAGAACTGATTAATGTACCCTGCTAATTAGTCATATTCAATGAATTCTCCTTACTTTTAGTTCTCATTTTAGCCCTTATGAAGATAGAAGTTATCTATGTCTGTAGATATAGATAAAGATTTGGAGGCCGGCTAAGAATCTAGCCTATAATGTATTTCATGCATGTTAAATCAATGATTACTTAATGAGCATAAAAATACTGAATACCTCAGATGCACATGCCAAGTTTTCTTTATCTATAATTTTTACCTCCCAAAGATGAGTCATACAGGAAATTTGTCATTTTTAATTTTCAAGTAGAAATTACTTTTAAAAATATTTTTATTTAATCACATTTGAAATTCCTGGCCAAAAAATAGACACATACCTACAAAATATGAAATAGCTTCCTGATTAATGTTAATAGTAAAGTCATGTGTCTTATTAGAATGTTAGGATTTGGACTTAAACAAAGTCTAATTTCTAATTTGCCACAATTCTTCAAATGATTATGGGAGAGGAGTTTAGATTTTTTATTTTTTGTTAAAAAGAGGTAATATATTAACCTACCTCATGGGAATACTAATAAATGAGAAATGCTGTATTAAAAATATAAAAGCACGATTGAAGTAGATTATAATGACTTCTAAAAATAGCATTCAGTTACAAAAAAAAAGTGAGTGGATATTTTCTGTTATAAAATTTAATAGCAAAAATAAAGGAAGTCAAGGAGAAAAGGAAGGGAAGAGTGCCCACAAGGTGAATTTAAAAACAAACCAAAAAATCATACCTTATTCTTAGATCTCACAAATGACTGGCTGATACTGGAAGGTAAGAATTGTCAGGCGAAGCTTAGCTAGGTCCTAGCTGAGCAGCTATTCTGTCTTCTCCTTGCCTCTCATGACCTCTGTATTTGGGAACAGCCAGGGGAAGGGTGCTATAAATTGAATGCCTTTCATCAAAGAGAAAAGCTGCCTTCTAATCTGCATTAGGAATTCTAGAATACAACAGTTTATAAAGATAAATTTTGTATTTTAAATGCTCATCTTGCGCCAAGTAGTTATAGTTGCTTCCAGTGGTAGCAAGTTCAAATGTTAACTATATAATAGAAATATTTTGCCATAAAAATATGACTTTACAGTTCTTATGCTAGGAACCACAGAATATATAATAAAATTAGGCTTAGCTATAGAAATAATGGTTTTCCTTACTATCCATTTCCAGTTTCAGAATACGAGAAAAAGAATACATTGACGTTGCAAATGGATCACTTTAGGACTTTTTCTGTCATAGTAATAAATAAAGACAAAAAATATTTCTAGGTTAAGTATTTGGATACTCTGTCAGATTAACAAAGCCTTGACACACAGAAGGAAAATATAAATCAAAATACTGTCAAGCACATCCTTATGCCTTCATGAACAATAGTAGAGATCATTTAACATAAAACAACAGTCAACATTGCTTCTCCCAGCACAACACCCCAGCTGAGACTGCATCTAATCCCTTACTGCTGACCTTGCTCTCTTCACTGGCACCCGCAGGTAAGATCATTCCAAAATACAATAACTTATTTTTGGCAAACAAAAACATCTTTTTAAAATAAAGAACTCCTCATCTGACAAATTAATTTCTATAATAAGAAATAGTAATAGCGTAATACCATGTTCGTGGTTTACTGGCTTATTAAAAGAAAGTACCTAGTATCTATCTTTTTGGTAAGGATTGTTATTGGTAACATATTTCTGATTTTCTGCTTTAACAGCATAGTATTTATTCAAATAAACATGCTACAAAAAAAGTGAACTGTTCCCCATTTCAATACTTGAAGGAATGAAACTTTGTAATTCAACATTACAAAAGTAATACTTCAGTGAAAATCCTATCTTTACTTTCTGTACAAAATCCATCTCATAAGAACTTGAAGACCCCCTGACCCTGATTCACATGTCATGATCAGTTAGTTCTCGAACACAGCAGCATAAGCATTACTGGTATCTATAGAAAGTTTCAGTACAAAAGATTGAAGCATAGGTCAAGGTAAATCTAAACCATAAACTTTTACATCAAACCTTAAAATGTCAAGAAACCACAAAGCAAATCAACAGATGTGAACACTTCAGACAAAAGAAAGTATTAGCTGCCAACTGTTTAGCTGAACTTTTAAGTGTTGATCTACCACTGGTCTCACAAAAGTAAAAAATAAAAAAAAAATCAATTAGTATCAGAAACTAAAACAATTTACACAAGATTCTCTGGCCTCCATGACTCTAAACAGAGGGAACTGGAATCTGCTTGATGGAAGTGCTGTCGTATTCTTGCATTAAGTCATTAGTGGTGTGATAATGCATGGCAATATATGAGTTGGCGAACCCAAAAGAGTTTACTGGCTGTAAGTTATGCGGGATACTCTCTTCCTGGGAAGGGCTGCTGTTGTAGATGCTGTAATAAGGCTCAATCCGCGTGTTGATGGGGGTCGAGCTGCTCTGACCATAGTGCTGGTGTCCGGCAGAGATTTTGGGACTTACCACACTTTCCTTGGAATGACTTGGGCCACAAGCCTGGTCTACAAATTTCTTCTGGGGCTTGGGCGACAGCATGTAGGCAGAGTTTGTTTCATGATGGGAGGATTTGTTCCTGTTGACTTCCAGGTTCCCTTTTCCCATGGCACGAAGTCGAGTCTTATGTTTGCAACAGAAAAAACCTAGGCCGATGTATTGGAGACACCAGAGCACTTTTCTTCGCAGCCCTGCACTGTTCCGCGAATATATAAAAGGGTTTAACCCCGACTTGAAAAATATGAGGGTAAACCCAAACAGTTCGAACTGGTAAAGGATAAAGCTGCCATGACGGGACAGGACCACCTGAACCAAGGCGATCCCCAGTGGAAGACAGCAAACCAGCACTGACAGCACAATGATCACACAGGTGACCACCGCCTTGGAATCCTTGGCTGTGGAGAGGTTGACAGCGGACACGAGCTGTAGCCGGGTGGCTACAGGGGTTGGCAGCTGGTTGGGACTCTTGGTGTAGCCATGCGTCTGAACGTGCTGCAGTTTGTTGTAATTCTGGTTCCTGTAGAGAGCTGGCATGGTACATTGGACTGGATCTCCGCCCCCTTTCCCAGGGGCCCCCATGAAAGGCTGTGGTCTGGAAGCATCAACTGTGATTACTGGGGGGCACTTTCTGACTTGAGCATTTTTCCTCAGGGTCTGAGCAATCATGATGTAAGAGACAGAGACCACAGCAACACAAAAGGTAAAGTCGACCACATAGAGAGACAGAATGGCTTTCCCTTCTCCAGCAATCAGACTGGACATAGGAAGGCAGAGGTGGGACTTGCTGGTTTTCAAGGTGGCCAAGGTGGCAAGGGTGAAACTTGTGGCCCAGAGAAGCAGAGTGAGGAGCAAGGTGCAGGGGAGAGAGGCTGTGCGATTAGGCTGCTTCCCCAACACCATGCGGAGCCGGTGCAGGGCGATCACTGCCACTGTCTTGAGGGACATGATGATGAAGCCTGAACTGGTGAGATGGAAGGTGAAGCAGAAAGCATCTGGTATGCTGCTGGCTGAACTGAAGAATAATACAAAGGTGAACATGGGGGCCGTCACTCCACAAATAAAGAGGTCACAGAAGGACAGATTCAGAATCATGAAGTCAAAGTTGGTTCTGAATTTCCTGAAGGCTGGATCAAAGAAGGACAAGAAGACGATGAAGTTGCCATAAGAGCCCAGGCAGAAGATGATGGCGAGTAGAAAAGTACAGGTTGTCAAGGTGGCTGTGTGGATGAGTTCCTGGATTTCGTCCGGGAGAGAAGTGCTATTTCCTCCCTGGGAGTGAGGCACATGGAACAAGGTGGCATTGGGCGCATCCTGAAGGTGGTCCGTGGAGTTCATCTTCAGAGAGAAAAGACTTCCTTCTGTGGGAAGGGAGTCAGGACTTCAACTCACAGATGAGCAATATGGGACAAAAGAGGCCCATGGCAGAAAAGCCTGCACACAAAAATGCATACCCAGAAAAGGAGAGGAATTAATGTAGACGGTATAGTGATCACGTGATCTTTTACACAAGCACAAGAGTTTTTCAGTGTTGACCCAGTGCAAAGAAAGCATTTCTCCTCTCAAAGTCCAACACAGAAAAGACACAAACACTTCAAAAACATTCAACCAGCTCATTTTAAGTTTTATGACAAACTGATTTTCAAACTAGTATAAGCATCACCTGGAGAGTGTATTTTAAAAAAGCAGAATCCTGGGCTTCACCCCTTGAGGTTCTAATTGAGGGGTGTGGAGATGTTACATTTCAAACACCCCCATATCAGACAATGGATCCAACATGACCTTTCTGGCCAAGGCGATCTAGTTGGAATCAACCTTAACTACAGCCTAGTGTAGCAAAATCAAATGATAGTAGGGTACCATGGTAATACAGGGAAGGAGAACCTAATCAGTTGGGGTGGGGACTGGGGAAGGCTGAGGGAAGTCTTGTGGCGAGCTAGCTGGGTGAAAGGTGAATGGCAGGAAATGGGAGAGAGGCTAGGAGAAAAGAGGGTAAGTCTTAACTCAGGTAAGGAAGAACAAATTGCTGAAATACAAGCAGGGGGGATTGCTCAAGCAGACCTTTACATAAGCCCCACAAATTACTAACAAACCCTATTTTTTTTCCCTTGGATGAATCTCTTATTTTCCACGATCTATAATTTCCTCTTCCGACTTGCAATTTCATGACTATCTCCATATCCTCCTTTGTTAGAAACTTTGTGGAGGACTAAATTTAAGAGGAAGAAAATTAAAGGAGAGGATCAGAATTATATTTGAGATTTACAAGGGGCAAAGCACAACTTTGGAAAATAAACTGCTCCATAAATGTGAGATATCATTATTCCTAGAGGAATAGGCTCATGATGAAGCAGGGGCGTCCTCTCATTCATGTGTTCATTTGCTCAACTTATAGTATCTTGTGCCTCCTATATGCCTGCTTTTACAAGGTGTTGAGGCTGCAGAGATGAGTACGACAGCCTCTATAATACAATTTTGTTTTGTTCTTAACATTAAAAAAAAACAACAACAACTTTGCAGTGAAATTTAAAGCACACTCACACAAAATCTTCTATTATTCTCAGCCTCAATGGAAGACTGGGGAGACTTTGGGAACAAAGTGGCCTGGTGCCCACCTTGCTTCCAAAGATGCTTCCAAGGAGACAATTTAAGTTGTTCCTTGGAAACTGGCGCAAAGCTCTCGAAAAACGAAAAAGCATTTGCTTTGATTCAATGTTTTAGGAAAAAACAAAAGGCACTGGGGAGATCCAGGGCTGATGTTCAGAATATGTAGCCAGCAGCCTCAATTAGATGGCAGCGGCCAGAGGTTCTGCTGAATCATAGGGCACAAAGGAAGAGGGCAGGTCAGCGAGGGCTAACTGGGGCCTCCAAGCTGCAGCTACATATGGCCGAATACAAAAGTCTCTCATCACTCAACAGCTACAGTTGTGCCAGTGACTACCAGACAAATTGCAGTCCTAGGGAGAACCATCTAACTGGTGTTCTTCATGAAGACCATCTCACTGTATTTTCAAGTTCAAACCATACATATCATGAAAACACGATGACTATCTCCACTGGGAAGTGACACCAGTTTGTCTATACCTTCCTTATGCAGGTTTTGTGAGAGAGAAAAATATAAATCCCAACATTTTAATTTCCTCATCCTGAGAACCCCTTGTATAGTTATTTCTACATGATTGTTGATTGATACCTATGTTGTAAAAACTACTTGTTTTTTTAATTGTTAACTGGAGGATGGGTTAACTGATATAAACAGAAGTAAAGGAGAAAAACCAATTTGAATACATAAAAGGCAGGAAGCATTTTAATTTCAACAAATTTAAAAATAATGGAGAATTTTAGCTCAGGAATATTAATGAACAATATTAATAGTATATTAACTTTATTAAGAGTTTATGATGTGGCAGGTACTGTCTTAGTGTTTCACACTAATAACTTACTGAATCTTCACCGCAACTCCTAGTTTGTATAACATACATACATTTTACTGATGAGGAGAATTGAGTTAGAGAGCACAGATCTGACCTTACTTAGTTGCTATTTAAAGCCCATTATCTTCACCACCATGTTCTCAAACAGAACAGTGAACAAATCAAGGGAGGGATCTCCAACTCAAAGCTGTTAACTATTCTTCATTGGGTGGCTATTTCATACCAGGTACTTAATACCAGCTTTACGAAAGTTATCAAATTTTATTTAATTCTTTCTATGAAGTAAGTAGTATAATTCCTTTCCAACTGAAAATTCCTGGAAACCATAAATTGAATTCATTCTCTCTCTCTCTCTGATGCTTTTTGTCTCTCTTCTGTGTACCTCTTTGGCAATACTGAAAACTATGGTTCTGCTGTAGTTATAAATTACTCCTATTGGGATAAAGGAAGTGGAGGAAAAGCCCAGGACTTAGTGCTAACTTGTAGGACTTGAACAAAGGCTGACAGCACAATGTAGAACAAAGTGTAACAGCATAAGCATGAAGCTCAGCGACTGCAAAGAGAGTACCAGATCAATACCAATTTGCTACCCTCAAATATTAAATGTTATTTTCAATGCAGCAAGCAAACTGCATTGGGATTATTTATAGGTCTGGGGAAAAAAGGTGAGTAAAATAATAAAATCGGAAATATTTTAAGTTTGGACAGAGATCTTAAGCAAGCATATTAGTCACAATAAAAATGAATGATTTCATATGCATCTTGTTATGATTAGAAGGGATCCTAAAGAAACTAGTAAGCAAGGAGTAAAGAACATTCATTATACAGCAGCGCTTTGTTCTTAATCAGATGTCTAAAATCTAGTGTGCTGCTTTAACTTTTTAGTGTATATTAAGACATTTTATATGTACTTTTATAAATCAACTCTTGACTAGGATTATTTGAGCCCTATATACCCCCCCTTTTTTTTTTGGTCTCATAACACCTTAAATTCCTTCAGACTGGCATTTTCAGGGTCCAACCCTTATGGATAGCAAGAGTCTGTATTGTAATTTTTCACATTGTGTTTATATTGATCAGGAAAACCTCAGGGAAGTTAGCTGACTTGCCCAAGGTTATTAAGAATTATTACATATAGATTTATCTGATCTTGGGGCCCCTGCTCTGTCTCCCAGAATGAACTCTCTAGAAGGTGGAGCAGCTGCTGGTGTTGAGTCTTAAAGACCTAGGTCGGTGGATGAGAGGAAGAGGGGGAGGCAGTGCAATCCCCCAATTTGGAGGGTGGGGTGCGAGATGGTGGGGTGCGAGATGGGGGGGGAAGGGGTCTACCGGGGTCATAGCAGCGAAGTGCAGGAGCTCTGGGAATAGGGAAGGCTTTGAGAAGGAGGGCCTAGGCCTGGCCAGGGAAACCTGTTAAAGAATTGGCAGTTAATAGGGTGTGGAGGGCCCCGCAGGGCCTGGCGGTGGGGCAGGGTACCGTGGGACCAGTGCGCGTGAGAGCCTCGGAGCTGGGGCGAGATGGCTTCCCCGCAGGCCGCACCGGGAGCGCAGGTGCGCGGCGGTCGGGCCTGGACTAGCGCAGCTGTGCTCCACGCTAACCCGCCGGCCTCCCGGGGCCTAGCCTCCCGTCCCCGGGGGTCTTCCCCCGCTAAGCGTCCTCGGCTTCTCACCTGCCGGGTGGCCGCAGCGCCGCCCCTCCTCCTCCATCTCGCAGCCTGGACCCGCGCTCCGCCCGCCGCCCCGGATAATGCAGGGCTAGAGGCTTCATCGCCATCGCCGCCGCCTCCGCGCATCCCGGGAGCCACGGCGAGCCCCGGCGCGGAGGCGCAGTCACCGGGACGCAGAGGGCGCCGCCCCACCCCCAACCCCTTGCTGGACACCCAGGCCTCGGCGGCCCGCCGGCCCCAGCACTTCCAGCGTCACACGAGCTTTCCCGGCCCCGCGACGGGCCCTCGCGCCGCCCCGCCCTCTGCCCCCAGCGCCGCGCCGTTTCTCTGGCCGGTCCTTTTGGCGTTCTGGTGTCTGGGCTCCCCGAAATGGGAAAAACTGACTTATAAAAAAAAGGGAACAGTGGGGGGCACCGATGGCATTCATAGATCTGAGGGCTATGACCTCAAAAGGTGGAACTGTGGGACGGGGGCGGTTGGGCCCGTGGGCCCCCTGCGCACCACAACAGGACCAGCTAGCTCATCTCTGGGTTGCAAGCAATACTTTTTTGATGAAACCACTGTTGTTTGTAACTTTGGGGCGCTGCATTTGTAAATCAAGTTTTGAAACATTTTTAGATATACCAACTTTAACGTAAAATTTTTTAAAGATCATAACGTTTCTCTAACCTCTACTGAGGGAACTCTTGAAGAGTTGCGAAATACTAAACATAAAATAACCAAACCTCCAAATCACCGACATTAAATTTAATGTGTTGAATGTGAAAAATCTTGACAGCAATGTGTGCAAACAGGTAAGAATGTAACAGGGTGGTCCAAGAACAGGAAACAAAATACTATACCGTCTTCTCATTCTTCTAACATCAGAAGAAGAAAGGGATCCTAAAAAACTAGTAAGCAAGGAGTAAAGAACATGTCCAAAATAACAATTTTAGCGTCAGAGCCATCAAGTTAAACTTACACCTGTACTCAGGATTTTACATTTCAAGCCTTCTCAGAGGTACTATTTGGAAAGAGAGTATCTGATACTACTTCCTTCACTCTGGTGTCAGATAACCTGAAAATTCCATTTAAGTTCATACCTCAGAATGTTGCTATTGAACTCCCTAATTTGGTTAATAGTTTATCTTTTTAAACAGGACTGTTTGGCACTGTAAAGTACCAAGTAACTTAATCAAAGAACTTATCTTTGCCAGTTCTCTGTGCTTCCAAGAGAAAACCAAGGGGGCTGGTACATTTATAACCACTTGCAATACAGCAATTCTAATGTCAGTAATGGTGGCCTTGGGTGCTAGAAATAACCAGTAGAAAAAAACCTACCAGATTAGTATTTAAAGAGTGGAAACTCTACTCAAAGTTATATCCTTTCCATATGAACTGGTTACTGCATAAATTACTAGCTCACTTCCAGACATTTGTGAAGATTATAATTGGTTTGGGCAGGTGAACATCAGTCACACCTATGGGAGAATATTCATACAGAGGTTGTAAACACCACCAATTTACAAGTTTTAAAGGATTCTGAAGATACCATCACAAAAACATAATGGCAACTTATGAACTGAAAGGAGGTATTTACACAACGCCTCCTCCCCCAATATATAAAGATCTCAACAACAAATCCCAACAATCCAGTAAAAAATACTTCTCCAAATACCTAAATACTTGTCCAAAGACAACTTTCAGATTACCTTTAGGTAGCCATAAAACTGCCCATCACTAACTGTAAGGAAAATACAAATGAAAATCACAATGAGATATGAGAATCTCCACTCCTGTAAGGATCAAAGACTGGAAAAATATTGTTGTGTGGAGAAAAAGGAATATTCAGCCATTATTGGAGGGAATGGAATTTGGTGCAGCTTCTATGGAAAATAGCATGGAAATTCTACAAAAAATAATAGACCCAGAAATGCCACTTTCTAGGTATTTACCCTCAAAATATGAAAAACACTAAGATTTGTGTATCCCTATTTCACACCACCATTCTTCACAACAACCAAGTCACGAAATTGATCTAAATGCTCATTAATAAACGACTGTTAAGAGACTGTAAAATATAATGAATACTAATTACCTATATAAACAAAAGATGTAACAGTGCTTTTTCGAGAAAGTGGACTGATATTTAGGTAACTATGCTAAGTGAAATAAGAAAAAAAAAGATGGTTACTAGCTTGCCTCACTTGTGGTATACAAATAACCACAGAAACAGAATGGCAAAACACAACAAAGTAATTTTTAGTCTTTGTGAAAAATAAACTGGCTAACAGTTACTGTTAGGAGAGGTAAGGGGAAAGCAGATAATATAGGGTACTGGCACTAGAGTTTTGCTAGAGGTTAAGTGAAGCGTATGCACAGAGATCTATGAAGTTGTACTTCCAAAATTAGTTATGTAAACAATTGGAAAATCAATAAAACTTGGAAGGAGAATATGTTTAGATTCCTCAGCTAAAAATCTTATTACTTAGAATGAATCTTAAATATTTACAACAAAAAGCACAAAGGAAACAAATGTTCATTAATGAACGTATTTTTAAGTATTTCAACATGTAGAGAGAAATGAAAACAATTTTGATGGTCAACAATGGGAACACTCAATTCTATCAGCAAGGGTCTTTGGCCAACAAAAAATAACTACTACAAAGTGTATGTATAAAGTTACTTTTTACCAATAAAACAAAATTCTGAATTCCACACTCATTCTTTCTGCCCACACTATTAATCACTAAAATTGGCCTGCAACATAAAGGACCTGGCAATGTTCAATATTTTGAGATTTGGAAAAAGCTAGTTACTTTTTAAAAAAATCAATAGATCATAATCTCACCTTCAAAATTTGAAATAACTAGCAATGTGTGTTTACATATCCATCCCTAAAGGTTAGCTCAAAATCCCATTTGGGTAGGTTTTACCTTGACTCTCTTCCATGCCCAATGGACAGTGACTTGTAAACACTGGCTGGCCTGTTAGCATGCTGATTATTGCCTTCCTCTGCACCATTCCTGCCATCCATACATCCTTTTGATTCAGCATACATTCAAGATTTTTCAGACAGATGTAGACTTCCATCCCTTTACTCTTTCTACCCATTCATTATTGTACCAAAACAAAACAAAACAAAACTTAATAACTCACAGCATAAACAGATTCCAACATAACAAGCAACTCTTGATCCTGGCATTAGAATTACATGGGTCACATGTTAGAAACTCAAATTAAGGTACTCTAATTTTTAGATGTAAGAGTGGATTTTAGGAGCCTTCAGGAGTTCAGTTCTGGTTGCACAAATGAATCATGGAGTTTTAGATTTAGTAACATGTTGATGTCTAACTCCTATGTTGGAGAAATTCTGACTGAGGAACATAAAGGATGTACAGTTCTCAACTCTAAGGAATCTTGCTAAAACAGTCACATAGCTTAGTTAGAGAAAGCCTCATTAGTCAAGTTTGGTCTCAAGATGAGGCACCAACCATGAGCTGGAAGAAATAAGTAGTCTTTGCATTTTTTTTAATACAGCAATGATATTTAAAAAAAAGATTTATTTATTTATTCATACAGAACTGGGGTACAGGCCACAGGCACAGGGGCAGTGAAAGGATTCACCAAAGACAGAGTGGGGAGCAGAACAGGCAGATCGACGAGTACACTACTGAGGGGGAACAGGGGACCACCTGGGCGGGCGAGGTCTGCCACGACATGTGGGTCACCACTGGGAGGGGGGGACCAAACTCAACCACCTGTAGTGCTGCATCCCAACCTGATGAGCCACCAGGGAGGGCCAATCTTTGCATTTTAATAAACCCTCATGTAATGCTTAGGCATATCAATTTGAGAATAGTTCAACTAAGTATGCTGCCACTGCCGACACAACTTTTTGTACTTTTGGGAACTCATTTATGTTATTCAACAGCTAAGCCAGTAGACACATGTGGTTAATGAGTGATGTGAAAATGCATTTTCATTTTATTTAAAAATGTATAAGAACTGGGGTCTAGGCCAGAGGTACAGGAGGTAAGAAGATTCACCAGAGACAAAGTAGGGAGCAGAACAAGTGGATCCACTGAAATACACTGCTGAGGGGAGCAGTGGGCAAGACAGGAGAGATCTGCTGTGCCATGCAGGTCAGCTTCCTGGCCAGGGATTGAAATCATGCCACAGTGGCTGGTGATAATCTGATTGCAGTGAGACTTAAACCCCTGCGTCACCAGGGAGGCCCTGCATTTTCATTTTAAATGTAGTCATGTATGGCTACTAGCTAACAATACTAGACAGGTCCCATCTAATAGATTTTGGACAGAAGGCATGAGTGTACAAATCCATATATATTAATATAAAAGGAGTTGCTACCTATATAGTTGTCTTCTCCTCTTAATGAAGACAAAAGCCAGGTGTTAAAAACAATCCATTTATTGGGTTTTAAGCTAATTACACAAATGAAATAGTCAGTTTGGCACTATTCTATACAGGGATTATGCCTGTGTATGCTGACAGCTAAATACTGTACCAGGACCTCTGCTGTGCTTAGGTCTGTGTGGAGGCATTCAGCCAAGATACTAAAAAATATACTTTAATGTTCCTTTAAGGAAGACTGTACAGGATGTGTTTTATGATATTCACTAACTTGTGAATTACTTCAGTCTAGAATATACCTTGCATTCTATAAACCTGTTTTAGGCAAACATGTGGTGTTCATATTTAGAGCGGCACACAAAAAAGTTACATAAAAATTCAGACATTCTAATGATAAATCAACTAAAAAACAAACAAAAATCAAAACCAACCCACACCTCAGCTTTTGTAACATGAAAAGATAAAGAAAATAATTTAAAAACACAAAAAAAAATGGCATTCAATTGGTTCAAAGCCAAAAAATCACTATAATAAAGAACTACATGTGAATCTTTACAAATTATACAATGGTGCTGTGTAAAAGGTTGCATCTGTACAATCTTGTTAATGCTATCTCTACAGTTTATACAGTGTTTTACAGCTATGTAACATTTAAACAAATCACTTAAATATCAAGACTTAATAGTCTCAACGATTATGCAGGCAAAAAAAAAAAAAAGACAAGGAAAAAAGTTCAAAAATTACAGAATTTTCATGTACACAGCAGTCTTCCATAACAGTTTTCAAGGAGGGTCAAACAATATTTGTAAAGAATACAGGTAAAAATCAACCAGCCAGAGTTTTTATTGTTGTTGCTGTTTATTTTCAA